AAGGTAATAACACTGTGTTACAGTGATTTTCTTTTTTGTTGTCTACTTATATGATCTATATTTTTTCCTGTATATATTTGCTTCTCTACATATACTATTACACCATATTGTGTTTAACACACATACTTATATAGACGTTTCTGTTTTGATTCAACCTTATGCATTATTATTATTAGCAATTTTGAATTTGCAGTGTGTGAATATTTATGAATTTATGTATACTTCATTAATGTGAAATAAATGTTATTTTTTATTATAAATGTGTGCAGTTGGAGTTTTTCTTTTCTGGTTGACTTGGGTATGGTCACTACGGGGAGTGGTTCTTCCAACTTTTTTGCACCATCAACTGATTTATGCCTACTCTACCTGTTCTATGCCCCTGTCTATATTAATTAGTGTCTTATTGAAAAATCATGCCATTTCAAGGTCCTGGAGACATCCATATACATCTTGACCACTTGTATCGTGTTTTATTATGATGTGTCCAGAACTCTTCATTAGCATTTTTTCCCCATAATAGATGGTTCACCATTATCCATCAGAAATGAATGTGAATATTTTGATTGGCCACCAAGTGGATGCAGTAAAGGCAAATGCATTAACAGAAATCAAAATCAAATATTTGGTGAACAAATATGTATTGCAAATATGAGGTTTCATAATAGGCAGAGTAGATCATTAGATGGGATTGTTCTGCTTTATCTATTTATCTTGTGTTTACGGATCAAGTGACCAATACACTTTTTCCAGCATTCTTAGGGATAGGACACTGATTGGTTTGATCATTGTCCCCCCGTATGTGGGTGTGGAAAGAAGAAGCAGATAAATATGAAAAATAAAACCAGCCTGCAAAGTGAGGAAGCAGTCTTATTCAGTTGTAGTGGCTATGTTGCTTGGTGTGTTCCTTTTAGCTGTGTGTGTGTGCGTGCCTACTTTACTATCCTTTTATATATTATATCATGGTAATATGTTCATTCAAAATGCTCAGGACCCTTGGACAAATCTCCCATCATGTTGTTATCTAGTTAAAATGACTGTAAGTAATATGTACATTGTCAAAAGTAATAAAAACATAATCATCATTTGCAGGAGACAGACAATAGAATTTACATCTATAAACTTGTATTTCAACTCCTCCCTATTTTTTCTCACTGATGAAAGACTTTAACAAAGACAAAAAAAAAAAAACAGCAAGTGCAATTGCTTTACTTAAACAATGCCTGTTCTGTGGTTTAATAAAAGTAGGGTGGAACTTCTTGACTTGCCTGGAAATGAATAGCTAATGCAAACAGCAATACTTTTGTTAATATGTTTCTAAGATTGTTAAAAATTACTAGCTGTGGGAAAGTAAAAACTGAATTCTATTTCTTGTAAGGAGAGTTGTTTTCTGTCATTTGATACAGTAGTAAATACAATCACTCTCTTTTTAGGCTGAAGAGGCTTTTGCTACTACTGAAAAATCTTACAGACAAACATGCTATTGACTAACCACTGGGGCTTATTCACTGAATTGGGAATTATGGAGAGCTGACATGGGATTAAAAAATGATATGATGAAATAACTGCATTGAAGCTTCCTCCAACAAACAGAGCCAACGTTAGTGGAGAACGTTTAGTAAGAGACAACATATGAGACTCAAAGGGAGAACTGGCCAAAACAGACCAAAGATCCCAGAGGGTATGAATATACATGTATGATCTGCAAGGTAAAGAAACCGGGCAAACAAGTAACATACATTAAGTTGTATCATGCGGTTCCTTTAGTAAATGCAATATATAAAACAGCCCTAGCAGCTATTGAGCTCCAGTCGCTGTGTTGTAAAATAGAACATTCAGAGTCACGAGATAGGCCTTGTAAGCAAATAGAAACAGTGCGGTATCTGACCACTAGATTACTTTGTCCAATGGAATTTTGTAAGATTAGAAAGTACAGCAGGTCTCAATGAGGAACTCCCAACCACATCCAGTCAGGTCCAGGCGCACAGCCACCACCAAAAGAATTAAGCCAACCCATATATAATCTTTTATCACCAAGATCCCACAACTTGCCAGTCCCAGACATCTTACTAGCTAGGATAGCTAGGATAGGAAGGTGCTGTAAGTGTGTGTGTGTATGTGTGAGGGTGCTGTTAATGTGTGTGTGTGTAAGGGTGCTGTGTGTAAGCGTGCTATGTGTGTGTGTGTGTAAGGGTGCTGTGTGTGTATGTCTGAGGGTGCTGTGTGTGTGTGAGGGTGCTGTATGTTTGGGTGATTGTGTGGGGGCCGTTTAGTAAATATCCCCCCTCCCTTCCTACCTTATGCCTGGGAGGGGGGATCCTTTCTGCTGCTTCCATCCCTGGTGGTCCAGTGGAGAGTGAACTTTAGCCTGCAGGGCTAGAGTTCACTCTCGTGAGATCTGAGCATTGCCGTGGCTAACGAGGCTATGTCACAGGGACCCAGCCTTAATCCACTGGCTTTAATAACATTGTGTCACTTTTGGTACACAGAAAATGGAATGTTTTTAAAAATATCAAAGTGTGTTATATTTCCAGATATGTGCAAAAGATAAGCTTTCCAGGATCAAAGATAACACATGTAAAGACTTTAATGTTGGATTCACCTTTTACTGAGAGTGAAATGTAAAGGCTAAGAATATAAAGGTTTAAATATTTGGTGAACTTTTTGAAACTGAGCAGAGATTGTGCATTGTTTAATGTAGTATCTATCTGCCTCAAAGTAAACTTGTTTGGAAATCTAATGCTGGGTGGTGTTGGGTGGTTTTGAGGGAGCTAGAGGTCCCTCAGCTGGAAGTTAAGGGGGTCAATAAGTGACAGAGCTGCTTTAATGTGCTACGTTATATTTTTACATTTGATATGTGATTAGAAAAAAAAAAGTCCTCTCTAGCCAGGCTTCCCCAAACACCGGCCCTCCACATGTTGCTGAACTACAACTCCCATGATTCTCAGCCTATCTATTTCATTCATAGAATCATGGAAGTTGTAGTTCAGCAACATCTGAAAGGCCGGAGTTTGGGGAAGCCTGGTCTAGGCTATTCCTAACACAGGATTGATCCTGCATTCTAAATATTATCTCTTGTATGCTGTTATTAACAATTAACAAGGACTGTTCATCAACATGAATTCCTGGGTACAATGTTAAATGAGAGATAAGAGATATTATACCTGCAACATAACTATTCATTTCCGCATAATCCCTCTTTTTAATCTTTGCTGATCGCTGAGCGTTCACAGATAGGTTTGCTGCACCTTAACTCGAGTGCCATGGGGTGAGCACAACACACTGTTTTGCATGTACTGCACAATCCTGGCACATCAAAAGTGGGAATTTCCTTTGCCACGTACATTATGTAAACAGTTTCAATTGCTCACATGGGACTTTATTACGTAAAATATTTCTCCTAATGCAATATAGCACAAGAGCCAGCAGAACTCAAATGTCTTCTCCAGTAATTGAGGTTTGGTTTTGCCTTGTGGCAATATTTTTCAGCTTCAAAAACCAACTAAGGCAACTGTACTACTGAAATTGTTCTTTGGTGAGAAATAGAAATTCATTTGAATTACATGCTACATACATCAAAATTAATTGTGCTTATTGTCAGAATGGATATAAAAAAATAAAAAAAAAATTTTTGAAAAAGTTGCAAACAGCAGTGAGAGAACCATCGCTAATACACGGGAATACGGGCGGTTGCTCAAGGCCCATAAATTCCACATAATCTGGTTTTGGTTTTACCTTGTTCAGAAACCCAGCCTCCGCTTACACTGAAATATCTTAAGCGGACAAGCCTTAAGTAGGAGGCTGTTGTTTCAAAGAACGAATTCTATTGGCTGCTCTGTCTCTGGTGTGGATGTCCTATGGTGCGGAGGGCAGGTAAAATCGGTCATTGGCTGCAACTGCGGTTTCCTGCCTCCAGCATAGAGTAGGCTTCTGGGTTGTTGTTTTTTTGTAAGTTTAAGTATATTAAAAAAATAATAATGGCCAACGGGTATTTTGTTGGCATTTGTGATGCCATCAGGGCAGAATTTAGATCACGAGCACCTGTTGGCACAATTTCTCAAACACACCTTAATCTCCCCTACCCCCAAATTCAAACTAATAAAAAAAAAAAACTTTAAAAAATGATACACGTGTGGGTGTGTATGCTGTGTGTAAATATTTGAGTGCATGTGAAGTTAAAGTAGCTCCCCTATTTCTCCCAAATGCTGGGCATAATAAAGACATTAAATGGCATACTATGGGCACCAAAACAACTTTAGTCTAATGAAGCAGTTTTGGTGTACAGTAGATATCCCTGAAGTAGTATCCTATTAAAAATAGGCCAAAAAATAAACACAAGGGGAAATGATAAGGAAAGGAATGAAATCACCACTTAGACGATATACCCCTATGATATATTAAGTGTTTAGTCTATTATTTATGGCATGTACTGAAATAGACTGTGTCTGCCATAGGGATCACTCCCAATAACGTTGTCTTAATTATTATTTGTTTTATTCTTGTCTTTAAACACGGTTTAATTAATAGACAAAGCAGTCAATATATTAGTAATAGGGGTATATCCTCTAAGCGTTGCTCTCATTCCTTTCCTCCTCACTTTCCTTTTTGGCAGACTAGTTGCGGTATGTGCAGCAGATTGTGGGTAACAGTGTGTGTGGACCTTTGATTTCTATCTTGTCCCAGTTCTCTCCCCTCTCCCTCCTGCAGATCACTTTGTTTGGTCCAAGGGGAGTGGAGCCAAACATAGATCAGGCTCCGCAGACTGAATGTAGCGATCCCATAATCCTACAGCTAGCAGTCACAGGACAGGAGGTAAAGAGAGGCATTTTAAAAGGCAGATCAGGCGCCCCCTACAAGATGGGTGCCTACTCTGCCAAATAGGAAATCCGTCCCTGGCTGCCATATAAAAAAAAAAAAATAACATAACGAGAAGAACAGAATGCACTTGTAGGAAAGCATTTTGAATTGATAAAAGAGGCGTACAAAATAACTTCTCAAAATTGTTTTTTTTCTTTAGGTCTGTGTTTTACCAGTATTTTAATATTCATTAAAACCGTTGCATTACAATTTTGCCTTCATAAACGGACATCATAATTACAAAACATTTGATCAAAACTTCTTTTTCAACATACAAAAGCAGCCCCATCCTAAATCTAAAAAAACAGCAACAAAATAAAAAAAAATCTACTACATTTTTCGAGTTCAAAGTGCATTTCAGGAGTAAATCTTTACATAAGTTCTAAATCAGAACAAATTATTGTATCCAAATATCTCTCTCTCTCAAAAAAAAAAAGTTTAAGATGTATTTCCCTTGAGAAAGTTTATTTTTAAAATATTAAATAAAATTTTTAAAAAAAAGATAAGCTGAAAAGCCTTATTTTATGAAATAAATAATGGATACTCAAATAATGAAATATTGACAATATGCAATTGACACTTTTATGTATGCAAACTTAAAAAAATAATAATTCTAAATTTTTTTTATAGAATAAAGAAAAAAAAATGCACGGAAATATATAATGTGTTATTTTTCTTTAGCAAGTCTTAATTCCCATTTACTTGGTTATGGGTCAGACATACTAACCACCATATCACAACCTATTATCAATATAGGCCGTCGTCATATCATTTCTTTCTGTTCTTGTGACACATAGCTTACAATGCTTAGTTGCTTTTCAATATATTTAGAATTTCTATAAATCAATCAAAGAATTAATTATGTGCTAGAAGGCTTTTTTTCTTAAGCGTTCAAAAAAAAAAAAAAATCAAAAAAAAAAAAATCTGCTCATTCAGTTCAGAATTCTGGTTTTAAAATTCCCTGTCTATGAGGGTGACAGTCTTTTGAAAAGATTATTCTTCTCCCTTCAAGAATACAACAAAATAGACCAGCTTCACGATGTGGTTCAGCTCTTACAATTTAGTGTAATTGCTTATTAAAGCATTTTGTGCAATTGTCTTTACTTATAGTCCCCAAATATTTGATAATAAACTATAATTTGCCACAAATAAGGCACTCGGTGAATAAGTCCATGTCAGAGTTTGTAAGGTGCCACTTATGTACCACCAGGAAATTATTTCCTACCATTGCAGGATCAATTATCCAAACAAAGAAGGAACAAAGACCAAATGGTAGCTCATCTCTTATGTACGCGATCTGTTGCTAAGCCCTTTTATTACCCATTGTTGCAGCTCATTGACGCTCATCATTTGCATGGGATGGATTCTCCTGAAAAAATTTAGGGCTTTCCGGTAAGCTGACACGTACTTTCCTCTTCTCCTTAAAGCGCCCAGATCGAGATATCTTGAGATTTCTGCGACCAGTCTTCTCGTTGAATGTCTTGTCTGCCTTGCCATCACCGTTGAATTCTGTACCTCCACTATGCATGGAGTTAGGGTGTTGATTTTCTCTTGAACCGGGGGAAGAACTTAGACTAGATCCACCTCCAATCCCCCATGTCTTGTCCTCCACGGTCTCTGTAGAACCGCTGTACATGGAAACTTCCTTGGGCTTTTTACGGACAGTGAGGGATTTCCACCAGTTGTTATTGCTACTTTTTCCCGTGGTGCTTTCTGCCATGATGACTTCGACTAGACTGGTTCAATTCCTCTTACTAAGCTTTTTTTTTTTACCAACCCAATGAAAAAAAAAAAAAAAAAAAGTAAGACAAATTTTTTTTTTTTTTTTAACAATATTACTTTTTGACATATACAATAATAAAAATAAAAAGTATTTTCTAGCATTATGGCAGTCAAAAATATAAACATTCTAAAATAATACATAGAATTAAAACACACTAGGCTAGGGTATACATGCTTTACATAAGGAATGCCAGGCAGGACAAAGGGATATTAGGGTAATAAGGAAATTGAATGGTTACTAATCTCTTCTTGGTGCCATTATCTTCAAAAAAGTTCCGTAAGGAAGAATGTAAACACTAGAGAGGGTGGAGAGCGCGGAAGAAAGAGTTTTAAAGAAGAACACAAGATAGGAGGAAAAGAGTCCTTACAATGGTAAATAAAATAAAAAAATGAGAAGTTGGCAGGAATGTTCCATTTGTTTTGTTGGAGAATTCTCGGACACTTTGCACTGGAATTGTTCCAGCTTCACCTTGGCCAATGTACCTCTCTAGGTAGTCATCACTATAGAATGCTGGGTTAAAATCTCATAACAGTCTAGTTATTACAATGACCAGTATATCAAAACTGAATAAACATACCAAGCCTTGATCCTGTGAACTTAAAACTTACATAAGATCAGCATGTAAAGCATGAGAACGGTCCACTATACATTTGAGATAAACAGAGATGGTAAGGAAATTAATGGACGAGTCCTGCGGATCTTTGAACATATTTTCAACAAACATCCTTTATAAAAAATAAAATAAATTTTTTTTTATCATATTTCTCACTGATGTGATGGTTCAGCTCTCTAAAGCAAATGCAAAGCTGCCATTTTAGCATTTTTTTAGTGTGCTGCTTGGAACTGAATAGGACTGTGCCTAGTTTGTCATATGGGACTATACAAAACAAACTAACTTTGTCACTCAGTGGTTTAACCCCTTCAGGACGGAGTCAATAGTAATAGTAAAATGTAAACAAAAACTGGAATTTGTGCTATATGTCTGTTTAACCGTAATTCACCAATACTTATTATATATCATTTTGTTCAGGAGAAAGAGGGCTTTAATTTCTCATGAACTATTCATACATGAAACCTAACTTATTATGAATGAAAAAAAAAAAAACCCAAACAATTGTAGTTCCGCCTAACATTTTAGCTGTAAATATCATAATACTATTCGCTTTTACTGCAATAAAATGCAGATATTTGTATTCAGCAAAGTCTCACGAGTACAGCAGTACTCCCCATTAACAGATTTTATGGTGTTTTGGAAAGTTACAGGGTCAAATATAGCCCATTCCTTTTTTTCCACATTAAAAATATGCCAGATTAGTAATGAGACAATGTGGTAGCCCAGGAATGAGAATTAACCCCATGATGGCATACCATTTGCAAAAGTACACAACCCAAGGTATTGCAAGTGGGGTATGTACAGTCTTTTTTAGTAGCCACTTAGTCACAAACACTGGTCAAAGTTAGCATTCATATTTGTTTTTGTGTGACGGCATTTTTCCCACACGAACTGCACTTTTACTGACGGTATATAACAAAATACAGTTAGAATGAAATTACATATGTATACATTGTAAGGGCTACCGGTTTGACCGCTAACACTGCTAACTATTTGGGTTATCCTATTGGGTGGGGGCTCCTTAAACTACAAGGGAGCAAGGTAGCAGCCATCTGCAATAGGCCACTTCCTGTAACTGAGAAGCTAGTCAGGGCTGGTAGAGGCCTAGGTGTTATGAATGTTCACGGTTTGTGTTCGAAGGCCGCTCGACCCGATGGGTCTGAGCTGGGGAGGAGGATATGTGATAAAGTGAAGGCAGATAGGCCTTTTAACCCCAGGGGGAGTATGTGTAGGATGTGTTGTAGGCAACACAAAATGCTGTTTAGTTATGGGCCCCTGGGGTGGAGCATTTGGAGAGAAGGGTGGGCCAATGCTCCACTCCACAGTTTAGTGGTTTTCTGGGGAGACATAGATCCAGGCCAGGGTTTTTTGGACCGTCTCCAACCCACTGCTCAGCTGCAGTTAATGAGCTATTGCAGTGGGAATAAACCCCTCCCTGCTAGGCAGGTGAAAGAGAGGGATTGCTGGCTTCCTCCCAGGAAGCAGGTAGGAGAGAGAGGCTGTTCTCTCCAGATAGAGTCAAGGAGACTAAGCACTGGGAGTGCAGAAAGGAAGCAGTCAGGGCAAGGCTGGCTTGGAGCACTGGGAGTGCAGAAAGGAAAGCAGTCAGGGCAAGGCTGGCTTGGAGCACTGGGAGTGCAGAAAGGAAAGCAGTCAGGGCAAGGCTGGCTTGGAGCACTGGGACTGCAGGAAAGGAACGCAACAGGCTAGCCAGCAGAGTGTTGCTAACTAATAAGGTTGGTGCCATATGTTTTGTTAGTTTAATCCTGATAGAGAGGGACGTTCAAAGTTAGTTAGTGCTCAGACCGAGCTAGGTTTTTGTTTATAGGGTTTTGTGTTACATTTATGTTTTAATTTACTGCTGTATCCTGTGTGGATTTGCAAATAAAGTGCCTGAGTATATGCAATTACAAGGACTGTGCATGTTTTTGCCCTAGAGGACCGTGCTACCTGCAAACAAGGATCACAACATACATATGTATAAATAATTTATTTTAATTTTTAAAAATATTTTATTTATTATTTTATTTATTATTGTAATTATACACACACACACACACACACACACACACACACACATATATATTTTATATAAAAAATATGCTCTTTGAGAGCAATCACATGGCCCCCGGGGGCCTAATTTGCTGGGGGAGGGCTGCCTGGGCTGTCAGGCAGTCCTCCCGAAGAGGATCGCGGTGGAGGTAAGTACTGCGGACCTCCAGGGGCTGAAAGCCGTTACGGCGTTCTATGCCGCCACAACGGCCTTAAAGCCCATTATAATGGGGACGGCATAGAATGCCGTAACGGCGTTAAGGGGTTAATCATTTTGTGTGTTTTGTTTTTTTAAATGTAAGGTATCACACATACAAAATCAAATTGCAGTGATATATTTGTTTAATCTGTGCTGTGCATCTTCTTGATCACCCAGCTTTTCAAGAACAAGAGCGATGTAAGTGTACAGACCATGTCGGAGTATTTCAAAGTACTATAATTACCTCTTTGATCTCATTGTGGATATTTCAATGCTCGGAATAATGTTGTGGTCTGTAAATGTGACCAGAGACTACCCCGTTAGTATTTGTGCAAGCATTTTGTAGTGTTGTTTCAAGCTTCTAACAATTTTATGTGTACTAATGTAAACAAATATAACACTTCTTCATGGAGAGACAACATCCACCAACATAAAAAAAAGGAACTGGTGATATTATGCCAAAACACTTTTCCTGCCAACACACTGAATGCCAGTATCACGGCTGACAAGTAACTAGTCAAATTCGGTGTCGTTTTCCCCCCTATTCACTTAATTAAAGAGTGTGACAAAACAGCAGCATATTGATATATTTAATAATAATTAGTATTATTATTGCCATTTATATAGCACCAACAGACTCCGTAGCGCTTTACAGTATTATGAGAGGGGGGATTTAACTATAAATAGGACAATTACAAAAAAACTTACAGGAACAACAGGTTGAAGAGGGCCTTGCGCAAATGAGCTTACAGTATATAGTAGGTGGGGTATAAAGCACAATAGGACAGGAGATAGCAATTAAATAAGGTGGGAGTGAAGCAGAGCTGGAGGAGAGAGTAGAGTGCTGCCCTTTAGGAGAGAGCAAGAGACAGGTATGTGAGGTAGAGGTTAGTCTTGGAGGCCATAAGCTTTCCTAAAGAGATGGGTTTTAAGGCACTTCTTAAACGATTGAAGACTAGGGGAGAGTCTGATGGCGGTAGGCAGGCTATTCCATAGGAAGGGAGCCTCCCGCGAGAAGTCCTGCAAGCAGGTGTGAGCAGCGGACAGGAGAAGGTCAAAGGCAGAGCAGAGAGAACGAGAAGGGGCATACCTATGGATCTGTAAAGAGGTATAAGAGGGGCTAGAATTGGTCAGTGCTTTATAGGTATGGGTTAACACTTTGAATTGTCTCCTATAGGATACATGGAGCCACTGTAAGGACTGTCAGAGGGGTGATGTGTGAGAGGACCCACTAGAGAGGAAAATCAGTCTGGTGGCAGCATTCATTACAGACTGTAGAGGGGCAATACGGCTTTTGGGAAGACCAGTCAGGAGTGGGTTACAATAATCCATGCTGGAAATAATGTGGTTGTTACATCAGGGCCACCATCAAAATGTTTTGGGCCCCTTAAAAACTCACTGGCCGGAACCCCCCTTCCCGCCAAGACACACAGGTTACAAGACAGACATACTTATCCCAACACATGCTCCCAGAGAATGATGCATACACATGCAGATATGAATTCCAGATTGAATACTCTCACGAGATACATATAGACATATATACTCACTGACACAAAGACGAGTACACACAGATATCCACTACTAGGCACACAATGCTAAACACACACAAATCACACTGATAAACACATACACACTGTTCCACACACTTTATACCCACAAATATTTCTATACACACACACACACACACACACACACACACACACACACATTAAGATTTGTATTTTATTTAGCCACCCCCCTTTTAGGTTACCATTTTGTAGCTGGAGGGTAACTTCCCTGGTGTCTAGTGGGGAATTAGGCTTACTAGAGCGGTGTTCCCCAACCCAGTCCTCATGGCCCACCAACAGTCCAGGTTTTGTTAGTATCTCCATTGGAATAAAACAGAGAAATACATAAATCCTGGATTGTTGGTGGTCCATGAGTACTGGGTTGGGAAACACTGTGCTAGAGTACCGCAACGTGGCACGCTCCATATGGGTCCAATTGCTCTTAACGGGCCTCTTAACAGAGTATTGACTGTCATCCCCTGATAGTGACCCTGGACACAGAAAGAGTTTCTTTAAAAATAAATACCCACTTGCCAATACAAAATTAATATTTTAATGAAGAGGGGGTTACACATTAAATATTCAGGGAAATAAATTACACATCAAAAAGGGCTGGTTACTAACTAGGAAAGGACACTGAATGGGAATCTATACTTAAACATTGTCAGCACCGAGGGAGTTATCCACTGTAATCTCAGTGGGACATATTTCGAGGGACATATTTTCAGTGTGGGCGTTTTTCTACTTAGATGGAGAATTTTCCAGATCAGCTATTTTAGCCTGAATTTTGAACATTTCAATTTGCAACAATCCAGACTTTAGTAAATAATCCTGTGTAGGGTTACATCATTTTTCTTCCCATCAGTCTGCATTTAGTCATTTCTTGACTACACCGCTGCCCTCTGTTACAACCCCAAGACGAATTGCAAGACTATGCATTTCAGTAGGATTATTTCTTGAGCAGAACAAAAAGTTTCAACATGTTTTTCCAGGCAATTATTTTTCACACAATATTTCCTCACTACTCACAGGGTTATTCAATAACGTGAGAATTGTTGGGATTTCAAAGTGAATTTAAATTTTTATAATATTTTTCTGATCTCAATAAAGACAACCATGTTTCTGTTTTGTTTTTTGTTATTTTCCTATTTACTGTCCCTTGTTTGTCACATGCAGAAATATCAACTAAAACAATTTCCTTTTCTGTTTATTCTCTGGGTGCTTTGTAAGTGAGACATTCTGAATCTAAGACACTTACTGTACCATGCACACCTGGTCAGTTTACACGTAAAGGACAATTAAGTTGCATGTGCCTGACATTTTTATTAACAATGCTGAGCTACAGGGGTGTGTTGCATATATTCCCTTGAGGACACAGATAGAGAGATGGACAGATACACACACTTAATTTTAGTTTCGGCTACAAAGTTTGGTTTACTTAGCAACTCAGTGCTGACTGAGCAACACCCTGTAAGGCAAAACATTCCAGTTCTGACGTGAGACAAGAGTTCCCTTATTACCACGTACATTACTTTAAAAAAAATTAGCATACGCACTCTTTAATCCCCTTTGAACTGCTGAAAGAGCAATAGAGAAATGCTTAACAGTATAACACTAAGACAAAATAAAACAAAAATCAAATCACCTATGATTCAATCACTCTCAGATTATGGACATTCCACATTGTACTAGAGAATACATATTAGCAGGTTTAGAGGAACACTATAGTGTTAGGAATACAGCCTCCCCCGGCGGCAAATAATGGGTTAAAAGCCCTTTTTACACTAACCTGATTCCAGCTGAGGTCAGGCACACATTAGGCCTTCCACATAGGATATGGGGGATTTGAAGACGCTGGACATACCCATGCCAATAGAATTACCTTTAACATTACCCTCTAATTTTACATGGGGTGTGGGGGGGCAAGGTTACCTACCCCACAGTCTTCTATCAACATTGAATATGTGTGCATTTGCGAGTTCAGTATTTCAAAACAAAATTCATTTAAGGGGACACTAATCACCTTAACCGGAACAGAATTATTGTAGTGGTTATAATGCCAACCCAGTTTGCTACCACTAAAATTATTAGTGGGTTCACACTCAGTATCCATCCAGATTTAGACACTAATGATATACTGTGAGATATGCTTTTATAAAATAAAAAAAGTACATTAGATGCCCTATAGGTAAGCTATTTTTATTTCTAGTATTTACAAAATGCATGTGTTTATTCAATGATATCTATATGGATTGCAATATCTTGTTACCAGAAGAGAACCTTTTCCACCATACATTTCCAGGTCCAATTTAGAAGTCATTTAAGAAGGAACAACCTAAGCACTGTAACCCACAATCTGTACATATTTTTATTCCTGGTCTCTTGGCTAACTTGCAAAACTCACTACATCTATAAATTCATCCGCTCACTCAGATATGCCATGGGGTAAACTATGTTCCTCCCTGGCCATAGTGTGCGCTTTAAGGTCAGGTACATACTATGCTAGACCTCACCACGCGTTTTTCACAGCTTTCCATGAAGGTGCTTTTCAGATCCACTGTCACGTCTACAGCTTAATAGAACATTCCACTCACCATAACCACTGCAGTGCACTGACTCTTCCCCCTCCCCCATTGAAGTCAAACCATTTTAGAACAATTTGAGTTCTTACCTGGTGTGCCCCCAGGTGCTGCTCCCACTTCCACTACAGCTGACAGAGAGTAGGTAGCTCAGTGATTGGCACTGCAGCTCTTAAAGGGACACTCCACTGCCCAAATACAAAATAACAAAAAATCACTGTTTAGTAGATATACCCCAAATGAAAACTTACAAACCTTTAATTATACATTTTTTTTTCATTGAAGTTATATCTAAAAACAGCTTGCAATACCTGCAGTTCTCTTGTCTGCTGCCTTTGCAAGCCCTCCTCTTATTACCCTGCCCGACTTTCTGTGGCTGTCCAATCACAGACTTCCTAATGCAGCTCAATGAGAAGTCTTTGCGAGGCAAGTGCTCTGGGCAATTGCTTCCTCTTGATTTTAGCTCCACTGAGCTAACCAAACCAGTAAGTAACAGGACCCATTATCTGCTTGAAAAGCCAGGGGGTGTAACCAGGTTAATTTATAAAAGTATCAAATTCTATTGAAATCTGCACTTTTTCCAAAATGAAAAAAATAGGACACACTCTTCCCACATAGAGCTTTTAAGCATGCCAAAGTGGCTTTATGGGTCTGGAGTGACACTTTAACTTACTGGCTAAGAGAGAGCAGCTAACACTGTCAGCCAATAAGCTGGCCCTATACTGCTTAACTCAGGACAGTTAATGGATACTCCTAAGCAGGAGGTAATGGCTCTCTATCTGCTGTAGTGGGACCAGGGAACGGCGCCTGGCAGACATCACATAAGACGAGAAACCGTTCTAAGAATCCTTGACTATTCAAAAAGGATTTACCAGAACAATGCTGACACCATAACTACTCCAGAAAGCTGTAGTGGTTATGCTGTTTAGAGTGTTACGTTAATTCTTGAAACCAGGAATAGTGCTCTACGTTTGGGAAGCAGTTTCTTTCACATTTGCTGATATAAAAGGAACTGCTTCCAAGTACAGAATTGCATAAGCCATAAACTTTTAGGAGATGTACTCAGAATTCCCATTGAATATAAAAGGATGGCTAGCATTGGCTGACCATCAGCTACTTCAAAGTCTAGGCAGACCTTACCGTAAGACACTGCAAAACCAGCACCAAACTCTGGAACTTCAAATGATGAGTAACTCTGCGTAATCTAAATATTGCACTTAAATAATTAGAGCTCACCTCCAGTTTGGAATGTATAATAGGTTGTGCTGAATGCCATGAAATTATATTGACAAAACCTAACCTCTTTTAAGAAACAAAATGCCCTTGAAGTAAATGGTTTCGGATAAACCTAAGGGTTCTGGTTACAGTGGGGAAATACTGTTAAAACAGATCCTGCTACTTCCTGCTTAATTTCTACAGCACCAACATACTCATAGTGCTTTACAATGATAGAATGTGGGCATTTAAATGTGAAGAAGGCCGTAATCCAAGTATACACTCTGCACTCCCCACAAGTTTTCTGAATTCAGAAATAAAAAAAAATTCTATAGAGCTTTATTCACTAAAGTGAGAATTGTAAGTCAATTTTAAATGTAAGTCCAAAGTAGCCGAACTGGAAGCATTGCTGACTTTTATGACCTTACATTTGAAATTCACTTCAAATTCTCACTTCCGTGAATAACCCCATATTATGTTGGCTTTGTTTTTCTTCAATTCCACTTTTCCCTGCTTCCACCATGCTGTTTTTCGAAAGTCCCAAGTCTGGGCTCCCGTATGATGTAACAACACTGCTACAAAACATAGGAACAATACAAGAAGCAAGCTCGAACAACACTATATCTGAACATCTCCATTTCTTAGTCACAGCTTGGTCTGTAAACAATAAAGAATTACATTGCTAAACTCAAGGGCATTTTGACTGGTCATAAACCCAAGCTTTATTTTAACTAATAACAACTATGAATTTTATTGAGGAAGATGTGGTATTAGCACAACTTAATATATGCTAGATATTACACAGTAATCCATTCTATTCTATAACTGTTGTGTATTGGCTATAAGGCACAACAATCTTGTTAGGCTTCTAAAACCACATAATTAAAAAATACTTGGCTTGAAATGATCATTCCATTTTTTGACGCTAAGTGATCTACCGGTTTGTTACCCCCTGATCACTTGTAAAATAAATATTTAATTATTATAGGGCAACCGTAATCACAGGGTTTAATTTCTTTGTCAGTATAAGAAAGTATTTTATAAGCAGCTATTTTCTCAGGTTTAATTGTTCTTGTAAGCTACTCACAAGTGACCTGCAATTAAAACATTGCAAACAATGTAGTCACACAAACATCTAGAGGTACATATTCTCTGTGTTATTAAATGGAACTTAGATACATTAATTTTACAACCAGCATTTCCAAATGATAAGTATGAATCCACAGGTGATATTTTCTGCCTTGTGTATAAACTGTGAAATGTCACTTATGTGCAATCTGTAGCAGTTACGGATACACAGGCTTCCACCATAAACATGATTCATTCAATGCACGTATTGTATAGTCTCTTAATACAAACTAAAGCCAAACCGGAATTTTAAAATGTTGAAATTTGAATTTTCAAGGTAAAAGGAAGGGGTGGGGGAGAAGTGAGGAAAGAAATTGAGTGAATACTGAGTAACTAATAATTAAAAAAAAAATATATATATATAGGCCAGGATAGTCAATTTACATTAATTCTCAAACATTTCTATTTTCTTCTAACTTTTACAAAGTTTAATTTCACAACAATTCCAACCACAAAAATTAAGGAATTTTGATAACTGGTCATTTATCTCCTCTTAGAATATTCAGTATTCTAAGTCCCTCCTCATAGATACCCTAAGGTTATTTTAAAAAGAAAACCCACAGAGTATTAGCGCATTATAGTTACCCACTGAACTAGAAAATGCGAAGAAGCAAAATAAAATAAAAAAGCCAAATTGCAAACAAATCTCTAGCTAATTATTTTCCAGATGAGCTAATTTACTGTATCCTTGCCAATTCTTTACAATTTGTTTTTGCTAAATAAGATCCAAATGAGTCCTACTTAAATGTCGTTCCTTAAGAATACAAAAAAAAAGGTGTATTTCTAAGTATATTGAAATATAGATATTGATCAACACAAAACACATGTATATATTTCTTACTGTAGAACAATCTCAGTGGGAAAGGGGGTAGCTTAAATCAACAGGGTTATTCACAAAGCACAGAATGTTTGTAAATTAAACCCGAATGGAAAATTGAGGTAAAATTAGCTGATTTTATAAAATTTCTCCAACTCCTACAAAGTCATAATTTGGCTTTTTTTTTACCTCAGTTTTGCTCTTCGGTTTTAATTCTTGAAAATTCTGGAGTTTATTTAATAACCCTGCAAGAATTAACCAAAACAGCAACAAGTTTCTTAAAAACCTAGATATACTTCTGTATCTATACAAACTTGATCATAACACAGCTTTGTGTTTTTCAATCACAAAAGTTGTGATTGTTTTCTATAATTAACATTTGTTATATTACCCCTACCCAGAACAATAGGCAGACTTACTTAATTGCACACATAATTAACTGTTTACATACAAAACCATAAATGATTAGATGTAGAAAATACAACAGAAAATTCACAGGGCAGACAGAAAGAAAATCTGTTAGGCAGTAGAAATTACCCATCAAATTGAAAATGTTAATACATTTTAAACATTGTGTCATACTCTGCATGACTCTGGTACTAAATATACCAGTAACCATAACAAAATGACTTTCAATAATCAGAATTTTGCGAAATTACTCTTTTGATCACTTCATATTTTTTCCCTAGTTTATATTGATACAGGGAGGGAATGCATATCATTTGGAGCTAACCCTACATACTTAATAAAGTTATACAATTACTTATTTAATGGGGGCTTCAGTCATACTTCCTTGGCATTGAACTTGTTGAAAGTGACTTACACTCCTGCATTAAAATAACCCAATCCAGTCACTGTACCTGTGGCTCCCAGCAGGTTTATCCTCACCTTGGCTGCACCAAGCTTCTCTGTGATCTCAACCCCAGGGGGAGGACCGAAACCAAACAACACACACAGGAATAGATGGCTATAGATCCTTACAGTGTAATAGCTGCAGGTTGGTTATCCCAGTCATTGCCCAGACAGCAGGGAAGCCAATGGGACAGGTGTACTCAGACAGCCGAGAATCCAATGGGACAGGTGTACTCAGAGCCAGAGAGCAGCAGTGTTGCTGGCAGGATCAGGCAATGCTTGGCTGCAGGTGCATGAGATCAGGAGCACCCAGTGTATACAGTGCTGGGCATGTGTAGGGGATTAGCAGGTGCCAGTGTATACAGTGCTGGACAGGTGTGGGGGATCAGCATCCAGTGTATACAGTGCTGGACAGGCGTGGGGGATCAGCACCCAGTGTATACAGTGCTGAACAGGTGTGGGGGATCAGCATCCAGTGCTGGACAGGTGTGGGGGATCAGCAGCATCCAGTGTGTGCAGTGCTGTGCAGGTGTGGGGGATCAGCATCCAGTGTATACAGTGCTGGACAGGTGTGGGGGATCAGCATCCAGTGTATACAGTGCTGGACAGGTGTGGGGATCAGCAGCAGCCAGTGTGTGCAGTGCTGTGCATGGGATCAGCAGCAGCCAGTGTGTGCAGTGCTGTGCATGGGATCAGCAGCAGCCAATGTGTGCAGTGCTGTGCATGGGATCAGCAGCAGCCAGTGTGTGCAGTGCTGGGCAGGTGGGGGGATCAGCATCCAGTGTATACAGTGCTGTGCAGGAGCATGGGATCAGCAGCATCCAGTGTGTGTGTCCAGCTGTGAGCGTAGCACTACTCACTATTAGCCAGGTAGCGAGGAGTGAGGAGGGGAAGGAATCCTCCTACGTCATATAGAACCCTGGACCTGCCACTTGCCGTGTTCTGCACCGCGCGCCACCAGCTGTGCTTTCATTGGACGTTCCAAGCTGTATTGGAAGATACCACCGGTACCAGCAGCGCTCAGTGTGTGACAGCAATCAATGCGTTCTTCGCTTTTTCTTCCCCCTCTGTCACCCTGAGACGTAGGAGCTTCCGTTTGGCAATGCCAGTCTCCACCTGCTGGCCCCGCCCAGCTCCGTACCCAGGTAGAGGAGCAAGGTGCAATGTGGGCGGAGATAGAATCAGGTGGGAAGCCCGCCCACTTTTCCTGGGATTGCTGTGTGATTGGCTGCCATGAGGCGACACGCTCTGTGATTGGCTGGAACCGCTGTCAGTAAGGAGTGCATGCAGTAACGCTGTGTTCAGGTACAATGCAGAGTGTTCTGCCAACCAGTCCTGTCTCCTCATAGCCCTGCCTGGGGGGAGAGTCATATAATGGCTGCTGCTATGTTCACAGGTTGGCAACACAATATTGTGCAGCATTCCCTCCACTCTATAGTCTCTGTCCTATAGTTTAATATAATGAAACATGATGTACTGAAGACATGGTGGCATTTCTCATAATAATCTGTTTAATTATTTACTGCACAGTGGCCCATAGTTGCCAACATATGAAAAAGCATTTCCATGGAAACTTTGGAGGAGTTTTATAACATTATTAGTAACATTTTTATGTTTACTTTTTGAAAAAATATTTCTCGCAATTTGTTAAGTGTCCATTTTGTTTCTCATTTGTTGCTTGTTTTGCGTCCTAACTGTCATTATTAAATACACGTAATTTAACGATAATGGTTAGAACGCAAACATACCAACACTTTTACCAATAGAAATCTGTTCTGTTTTCTTTTTTTTTTTTTACTGCCATTCTAAATTTGGCAGTCTTCTGAAATGTAGTGGGATTTACTAGAAAGAAAACCGTTCTAAATACTTTCATTAGCCCATGACCTTATCTTATAGTTAGGATAGATATCCCACACTATCTATGGTAGTGTGGGATAAGGGATGATATGGGAAGCCCCGGGTCAGTGTGGGATAATGCATAACATGGGAAGCCCCGGGTCAGTGTGGGATAAGTGATGATATGGGAAGCCCCATGTCAATGTGGGATAAGGGATGATATGGGAAGCCCCGGGTCAGTGTGGGATAATGCATAACATGGGAGGCCCCATGTCAATGTGGGATAAGGGATGATATGGGAAGCCCCATGTCAATGTGGGATAAGGGATGATATGGGAAGCCCCGGGTCAGTGTGGGATAATGGATAACATGGGAAGCCCCATGTCAATGTGGGATAAGGGATGATATGGGAAGCCCCGGATCAGTGTGGGATAAGTGATGATATGGGAAGCCCCGGGTCAGTGTGGGATAATGGATAACATGGGAAGCCCCATGTCAATGTGGGATAAGGGATGATATGGGAAGCCCCGGGTCAGTGTGGGATAATGCATAACATGGGAAGCCCCATGTCAGTGTGGGATAAGGGATGATATGGGAAGCTCCATGTCAATGTGGGATAAGGGATGATATGGGAAGCCCCGGATCAGTGTGGGATAAGGGATGATATGGGAAGCCCCGGGTCAGTGTGGGATAATGGATAACATGGGAAGCCCCATGTCAGTGTGGGATAAGGGATGATATGGGAAGCCCCGGGTCAGTGTGGGATAAGGGATGATGTGGGAAGCCCCATGTCAATGTGGGATAATGGATAACATGGGAAACTGGTATGTTTCACTGAGGGTTAATCCAGCCTCTAGTAGCTGTCTCACTGACAGCCACTAGAGGTGCTTCCGCGATTCCGCTGGACGTCCATAGGAAAGCATTGAGTAATGCTTTCCTATGGGCGGTTTGAATGAGCGCATGCGCATTCGGAGCTGCGAGGCGGATCAGGGCGGAGAGATCCCCAGTGCCAAGGGAGCCCGGCGCTGGAAAAAGGTAAGCTCTGAAGGGGTTTTAACTACACACACACTCTCACGAACAGACGCATACACACTAGCTAACAGACGCACACATTTACTGACAGATACACACTCAGTGACAGACACACATACACACTCACTTACAAAACATACACTCTCACTGACAAATACACACTCACTAACAGACACACACTAACAGACACTAGCAGACACACACTCAATAATAGACACACATACACACTCAGTGACACACACACAGTAACACACTCACTGACACACACAAACTAACACACTCATTAACAGACACACACACAGTAACACACATACACACTCACATATTTTTTTTATTTTATTTAAACCCCCCAGCCTCCCTACCTTTGGGAGTGCTGTGGGGATTCCTGCTGTCCCTGGGGTCCAGTGGGGTCCTGCTGGGCTGCCGGCCGGGCGGCTGGGCGCGCGAGGGAGGGAGCACTCTCCCCTGAGTGCTCTCTGCCCAGCTCCCTCTCGCTTCTTACTGATGCCGGAGCCGGAATATGACGTCATCTTCCGGCCCGGCCAGCAGCCCGCCGGCAAAATGTGGCCACACTGCCACTGGCGTGCATACCGGGTCGCAGGGCGGCTGGGCCCCCTGGTGGGCCAGGCCCGGTTGCAGCCGCGACCCCGGTATGTACGCCACTGTTTATGTATATATATTAATAGGTGAGGGCAGGTTGCTTATTAAGGCTATATCCCATTTAACTAATAACATCCACAATTACACTTATCATCTTACCTACAGAAAACATATACACTCTAGGGAGCACATATTTGTTATAAGATGCTGTCCCTGTTGGCCAGATTGTCTATGGTTTTCAAATAGCTGCTTACCAGGATGTCTTTATGCATTGGAAAAAACAGGTCTTGCTGGCACCTAGAGACCACCTTTTCTCAGCCACATTGACAAATACAGCACCTTCAGGCTATTTGTATCATAACCACTACACTGAGATGTAGTGGGTATGTTTCATACAGTGCTGCTCTAATCAAGAATAATTTAAAATAAAACAGCTTTCATAACGTTAACCTAAATATTGCACGTAAGGAAAGGGTACATGCAGTGTCTTTATACGTTATGGATGAGCCACCTGACTCCGTGGCAATCAAACAAAATAATCTAATATTCAATTAGGAAATGAATATTTCAGTCTCTCAAAGGGACACATAGCATCTAATGAGGATATCTTCAGCACTTGCTCAGTGAATCCAAGCATTGAACCTAGCAGCTACATGTAGTGTATCCGCACAGGTTCCATTTAAACCAGATTTAGGCTGAAAAGCTGGTTTTATAACTGGAAATAAGTCTATATTCTTCTATGTCTCTGTCTGCCAGGCAGAGAAATTGGCAGTATCAATGTTTACTAAGCAGCAACTGTCATGTGAGGTTTGCAGCAGCCACATGTTCAGAAGAGTCACCTATTGGCATTTGATGGGCAGCTCCAGCCCTAGACCAGTTTGCACAAACATGTAAGATTTAGTTTTAACCTTTAAGCTGTCATGGCTGTTACCTATTTGCTAACAGCAGGTTGTTGTGACAGTTCTGTAAGGCAGTCCTTTCTTACACTGCTTTGTCGTAGTACTCTGACTCAAAAAGATTAAAGCAGTGCTGTCACTTTTTAACTTTTTCTTAAAGCTAGAATATTTTTAAAACATTCTTGTTGACTGTGTTGGAATTTCTGTGACATTCCACCGCAATTACAACATACACATAAGGCTAAGTAGAGACTACTTTCTTATGTAAAACCAGTTTTTTGGCAAAATTTGAAAATTCGCCACATTCTGCCATTATAAGCATCATCTTGTGCAATGTGCAATAGATTATTCTGGTACCTTATTGCAACACTCTGATTAGGCAGAACCCCAGGTAAGTATAACTCACTTCATCTCCCTTCTTACTTCCCCTGATATAACTTGTCATGCCAACTTGACATCACTACTTTAGAGCACCCTAGAAACCTACAAAAACATAAGTCATTATGAAAAATAAAGCAAGGGTTTTTTTTTTTGCACAGTGCCAGGTATATTAATAAGTAATATAGGTAAATGCAGATATTACACTTCCATCACAGAACTCCACCTTATTTCCCCCTAAAAAAAGAGACAAGCTAGACTCAGCAGGCTTCCTCAAACTCTGGCCCTCTATATGTTGCTGAACTACAACTCCCATGATTCTCAGACTCTCTATTTCATTCATAGAATCATGGGAGTTGTAGTTCAGCAATATCTGAAGGGCCGGAGTTTGGGGAAGCCTGCGCTAGGCTAGAGAATCAAGCTAGGAAATGTTCAATCAACTGTAAGTTTGCAGAAACAACTTCTACATTGACTTTGATTCTTATGAAATTAAATGTCAGCTGTTGGTGATTTAAATCCACTTAAATGAATGTTACATAGATGTCTAGTATGAAAAAAGACTAAAGTCCATCAAGTTCAACCTTGAAGACCATTCTTTAATGCTATCCAAGAGAAGTAAACAAAACCCAACAAAACAAAACAAAAAAAACAATTGTAGCTATTTTCAATTATGCCCAAAAAGGGAATAAAAAAACCTTATTGAACCCAGAATGGCAATCAGATTTCTCCTTGAATAACAACATGTTTACATACATATCAAGTATATCTTTGAATATTCTGTTTATGAAAAAAGGATCCAAGCCGTTTTTTAAAACTCTGATAAAACAACCTCTTTAGGCAAAGAATTCCACATGTTTATTGTTCTTACTGTAAAGAATCATTTTCTCTGCTGCAAACGAAAATGCCTTTCTTCCAGTCTCAATAGGTGACCGCTTGTCTATTGTATATTTCTGCTAATGAACAGGTTAGCACATAGTGGTTTGTACTGACCCTGTATATATTTGTATAGTGCTATAGTGAGGTTCCTTTTTTTCTAAAGAAACAAATCCAGTTTTTCCAGCCTTTCCTTTATAACTAATGTTTTCTATCTTCCTTACTAGTTTTGTAGCTCCACTCTGCACTTTTTCTAGTCTTTCAATATCCTTATTTAATTCAGGTACCAAAAATTGCAGTGCATATTCAAAATTGGGTCTTAACATTGATGACAGTTATATTTGGGTCACGTGAATCAAAACCGCCTTACTAGCTTTTGCAACGTCAGCCCGGCATTTCATACTGTTACCTTGTTTGTGATCTTAATTTATTCTTAAGTCTTTTTCATTTGATGTTATCCCTAATTTAGCCCTATTTCATTTATAAATATGTTGTGGGTTCCATTTTCTAAAATGCATGACTTGGCATTTATCTGTGTTGAATCTCATCTGCTATTTGCCTGCCCAGTCCCCCAATTTAGCCAAATCGCTCTGTAGAAAAGTTATGTCATGTTAAAACTGTATTTTCTAACCTAGTATTGTGTCAACTGCAACCACTGACAAATGACTTATGATGCCCACTTCAAGATCATTTATAAACAGATTAAAGAGAAGTCCACCCAGGATAGAAACCTGACACACTTCACTTACCACTTTTGACAAATGTGAAAATAGTGCTATTCCTTTTGACACATTTGGTCAGTGGAGTGTTCCTTTAAGCTAGTGTTTTATCCAAAAACACATTTTTTCGTGTAAACCAACTGATTTCAGTTTTACTAGTAATCTTTTATGTGGAACTGTTTGAAACACCCTGGCAAAATCCAAGTAAATCACATCTACTGGAATTAACTGATCTATATTTCTATTAACCTCTTTATAGAACTCAGTTAATCTAGCTTGGCATGACCAGTCTTTCATAAAACCATGTTGATTCCTGCTAATGATATTTTAGTTCAAAATGAATTCTTGAATATTAATCCTTAACAGCCCTTCAAATAATTTCCCAACCACAGATGTTAAGCTAACAGGTCAGTAGTTTCCAGGTTGAGCTTTTGAACCCTTTATACATATATGCACCACACCTGCTTTTCTTCAATCTTCTGGTATGATTCCTGAAGAAAAGAATCCTGAAAAATTAAAAACAGGGGTATGGATATTTCAACACTAAGCATGCGCAGGTGAATACCATCTGGTCCTAGGGCTTTGTTTGAATTTCTGAAGCATTTTATCCTATGTTAAACAATCAATTGTTTGCTGTAAGGCTTTTGTAACAGGGATTTTCAAATCTACAGTCATAGGTTATTCTTCCCTAGGTACTGAAGAAAAATAATTATTTAGAACTTTTGCTTTTCTCTGATCCACCTTGATTAACTCACCCTTCTCACTTTCCAATGGCCCAACTGAGACCTCACCTGAGTCTTTCCCTACCAGAATCTGGAACGTTTCATCACGGCCTACTTGAGTCAGAGTTGAAGAGAGGCAACCGCTCTTCCCACTCCTGTACTCACTGAGAGGCCCGGCTGACCTTCTACCCCCCTCCCCCAACCCTTTGACCCCAATGGCCTACTACAGTCTGCCTACTACAGTCTGCCTCAGCTAAACGCACTTGCTGAACTCAGACATTAGCTGACAAAGCTAGACTACTTAAAATGGGGGCAATCGCTTGCTGAATACCCTGCAGCAAAATCTGTCCCCCGCTACTTACCACAGTTCCCCCGCTTGTTACGGTTGGAAGAAATTTTCTAGTGCTTCTGGATATGGCTACAACTGTGGGAGGCAACTGCCAGTAACATGCCTCGGAAAAGAGTTGAAAGGAGTGAAGTAAGGAGGGCGGGTAGGTTCCCTCCAGGCAACTAGCTTCAGCAAACACAAACTCCACAACCTCTCCAACAACCTGGGCTGAGAATTATTGGAGGCCTTACCTCATCGCATTGCCCAAAGGGGTGGAGGAGCAACTGCCGACAGCGGCAACCACTTTCCGGAAGGGAAAGGACTTGGTCGGCGAGAGACCCGAGCAAGGTCGATCTGGGTGTGAGTACGGAGATGGAGGTGTGCGCACTATTAGAGGGATCAGCATCGCACCCATCCTACTGCTGTATTTCATACCCTCAACAACTACACTTGGAGATTCCCAGACATGGGCATAGGTTAAAGGACCACTCTAGGCACCCAGACCACTTCAGCTTAATGAAGTGGTCTGGGTGCCAGGTCCAGCTAGGGTTAACCCATTTTTTAATAAACATAGCAGTTTCTCATTGACAGCCACTAGAGGCGCTTGCGTGCTTCTCACTGTGATTTTCACAGTGAGAGCACGCCAGCGTCCATAGGAAAGCATTGTAAATGCTTTCCTATGCGACCGGCTGAATGCGCGCGCAGCTCTTGCCGCGCGTGCGCATTCAGCCGACGGGGCGGAACAGAGGAGGAGAGAAGGAGGAGAGCTCTCCGCCCAGCGCTGGAAAAAGGTAAGTTTAACCCCTTTCCTCTTTCCAGAGCCGGGCGGGAGGGGGACCCTGAGGGTGGGGGCACCCTCAGGGCACTATAGTGCCAGGAAAACGAGTATGTTTTCCTGGCACTATAGTGGTCCTTTAAGCATATATATGCTGACCTGGTAACACTCTTGTAACTCATACTTTGGAACTCCCTGAATATTGTAGATGCCATGGTGATTTAGCTGACAAATTAACTGTCTTCCTCATGCATACGTTTATTCTTTTTGAAATATTGTAGGCACCGTTCAGGAATGTACCTGATCTCTATAGTCAACAGTCACCCAGCGGTCTCTTACATGTTCCAGTCTCATGTCTATCTGGTTTCTGTTATTTACTTTCTTAACTTTCAATTTAAAGATATGACCGTTTTTCATGATTATTATTATGTTTTAAAATTGTGCTAGCATCTCTATTGGCATGCATTTGTTATATTATGAGCTTGTCTCTGCTATTGTGGCATTGCAGGCGTTATTGTACTTTTTTGTACAACAAAAATAAAGAATCACAAAAAAACAAAACAAAAACCTTTTGTAAGCCCCGTTGGCATGCTTATATTTTTTTACACAAATATATTTGGAACCAATACAAACCTTTGTCTGGAAATCTATTCATAGACAGGACTATACATAGGACACAAGGTCACACATTTAGACTAGAAGAAAGGAGATTTAGTCTAAGGCAAGCATGTCAAACTTTCGCCCCACAATGCATATATTTGTGGCCTACCTGCCCTGGGGCAACTTTGTGTTGTGGCTGCGACCAGCAGCAAGACAGGAAAGATATTTCCTGTCTGATTCTTGTCTTCCCTCCCACCACCGATCGTGGGCCCCCGCAAGCCAGCCACTCCCCCTTCCCCTCTGCTCGTAGTGCCAGAGGAGCTTCTGGCCTGCTTAAGCAGAGAAGAGCAGGGCTGGAACTGGAGGGCAGCGGCTTAAGGTAGGGGAAGAGGTGCTTGGGGGACCTTCCTGTGTAGTGTGTAAATTGTGGAGGGGGACAGTGTATTAATTTGAGGGAGGGAGGGGGCATTGTATTAATTTGAGGGAGGGAACAGGCAGTGTATTAAATTGGGAGAGGGAGTGGGTAGTGTATTAATTTTAGGGAGGGGGCACTGAATTCATTTGGGGGGAAGGAGGGAGCTAGTGTATTAAATTGGGGAGAGAGGGGGGCAGTGTTAGAGTGGTGGGAGGGGAGGCAGTGTATTAGAGTGGTGGGAGGGGGCCGTGTGTTAAATTGGGGGAGGGCAGTGTATTAAATTGGGGGGAGTGCAGCAGTGTATGACATTGGGAGAGGGAGGGCAGCATATTAAATTAGAGTGCTGGGAGGAGGGGCAGTGTATTAGATTAAGGGGCAGTATCTAATAGATTGGTGGAGGGGGCAGTGTATTAGAGTGGAGAGAGGGGGTGGTGTATTTGATTTGTGGGCAGTGTATTAGAATGGGAGGAGGGGGCAGTGTATTGAATATGGGTGCAATGTATTGGATTTGTGGGCAGTGTATTAAATTGGGTCAGCATGGAGGCGCTGAATGCTCCCCATAGAGATACTGATTGGCCGTGCAGCTTTTTGCCACACATGCACAATAGCCTCCCAATGCTTTCCTATGGGAAAGCATTTGATTGGCTGAGATAATCAAG